TAAATTCCAGATCTGAAGCAGTGTACATGTTTTAAATTTCGGAAACTTAAGTAATAATTATTCTAAACATTCGTAGAAACTAGGTGTGTATATATAAATCTTTACTGCATACTTTTGTGAATGTATCTATAAATCTGTGTGCATAGATTCATGCATTATGCGTGGGTATATACAATTATATATATATATATATGTATATATGAGATTTGAGGAGCAAACGGGGGTGTATGTAAATATATAGGTACATGTGTATATGTAAATTAGTACGTATATATATATAGAAATTAGGAGCGTGAGTACAAATCTGTGCTGCAGATTTGTGTACATGTATATATAGGTCTGTGTATATATTCTTATACAATCTCTAGGAGTGTATATATATATATATATGTGAATCGGTGTGCAAATGTGTGTAAGTAAATATATATGCATAATATTTACACTTGCATGTATATTGATGGGTAGATGTGTGGAAAATATGGGTGTATGTATAAATCTGCTCTGCAGATTGTGTATATGTATATATAAATCTGTGTGTTTATTTTATGCATTCTGTGCGAATATATACATATATATTTTTCGAGATAAATTTTCTTTTTGGAGATAAGTATATACATAGATATATATATATATATATATGAGAATTGGTGTGCAAATATTGTGTAAGTAAATATATATGTGAGTCCGTATGTATGTGTAGATGTGGGTACGTGTAGAAAAAAGTATATACATAGAGATATATATATATATGAGAATTGGTGTGCAAATATTGTGTAAGTAAATATATATGTGTGTCCGTATGTATGTGTAGATGTGGGTACGTTTTGAAAAATGGGTGTATAGATAAATCTGTGTTGTATGTTTGTATGTATGTGTATGAGCACATGTATGTATATAGAGGTATATAAAATATTTTGAGTGTTATTGGGTGGTAAATGTCGCTGAAAAAGGGGAACAGATTAATTAGTAGAGTTTTAGTTAAAACAAAGTAAGAGGGTTAAACTAGGTGAGGGAATATAAATGTGAATCTAAATAGAATTTGTGTATACGAATAATTTTTAAATATTTATAAATTAATAATGACTTAAAAAAAGTTTTGTTTGTTATTAAAATAAGCAGATAATCGTAGAATAAGAGAAGGTGAAGAAGGATAATGAATAAAAGTTAGAAGTGTTATTTACAAGTACAGGGGTAAATTAGGTGTATATTTAAAAGGGTAATGAGTCGGTATGATGTGTGAAAACGTTTAAATCCGTTGGATCTTATATCGAGGAGGGGAGTGTGTGTGTGTGTGGTCGGGATTCGGTCGATGTGGCTCTGGACCCTATCTCGTGGATATTTGTTTCGCATCCCGTTTTTTGGATGATTTTGTACGTGACTTTCGTGAATTTTGGATCCACGTAGGTAGGGGAAATTCTTGGTGCCTTTCTTGATAGATGTTAACGGCATCATACGATGAAATCTGAAAGTCTAAATGTCGGTTTATGTTAATCACTATATGAATCGTGATTGTGAAAAGTTATTATGCTTACAAGCGTGTTTGTGAAATGTGAATCGGACTGCGATGTAATAAATGAATATTGCATCGTATATCGTACGATATCTTACCTTACTAAAGTTGATTGTATTGAATTGTGATTGTAATAGTCAGGTGTATTGTACCTGTCATGCAAATAAATTTTGCAACCAGGAGCGGAGACAGGGAATGCCTGCAAAAGTGGAAGGGCGAGAACAAAATGGTAGACACTCGGTTGTTTTAAAAGGTAGTAGAGTTTCCACTTGGTTCGTCAATGAGATCTGAATTTTCTATTGCCGGGTAAGAAATGCAGGAGTTAAATCAATGAAGATCTCGTTATGTTGTTGGTACATTTTAAGTTGAATTTTTTAATGGCTTATACAGAGAGTTAGGGTTAGGGTTAGGGTTCTTACAGTACTGAATAAAATTTTCAATCAATTCTACTCCTATTTTTACTTCCGATTGATTAATATTTTTAATTTGAGAAATTAAAGTAATAAAAGTATAAATAATTTACTTGTTTTATATATATATATATATATATATATATTACGAGTGAAATATTAATAAAATATTAACTGCGTAAATAATGTGTATTTTTTCACATTAAAAATTAAAATACTAATACATAACGTAAATAATATATTTTAAAATTAAAATTTTTGAATAAATTTCGGTATTTTTAAATTGATATCTGGACAGAATCAAATTGTGAAAATATTAGATGCCGCATTTGAACTGCAAGTTATAGGTCTCATGGAATTGTTAAATATTAGATGTCTTTATCATGGACCGTGTTTGACATGACCCAAAATTGAGTGGTAATGTTCTATATATATATATATATATATATACACACATGCCATTAACGCAGCGGCTCGGCCCCAACTGTATGGACCCATTAGCTTTTACAGGCAGGATTCAAAATCTTTTACAGGCCGCAAGGCCTACTGATCCTTATGGGCCAAAAACAATGCGTATCTTTAACGCAGGCCTCAAAGTTATTGGGCCCAGTTTACACTACATTGTGGGCTCTAAGATCGACCAGATTGAACCTTGGTCCTAAAATTGTTGAATGTTGGGCTCAATTTTGTCTAGCCCAGGGGAACCTAATGAGCTTCGTATATGGGCCTAACTATTGGCCTGTGACCCAGGTGTGCGGTTTATCTGGCCAAAAAGTGGAGCCTAATGGGCTTTGTATGTGGGCGTAACTCATGGGCATGTGGTCCAGCTGTGCAGTTTATCTGGAACCTAATGGGCCTCGTATGTGGGCCTAACTCATGAGCTTGTGGCCCAATAAAACAGTACATCTGGCCCAGGATGGACCTAATGGGCTTCGTATGTGGGCCTAACTCATGAGCTTGTGGCCCAATCGTGCAATTTGTCTGGACATGGGAACATAATGGGCTATATGGGCCTAACTCATGGGCCTGCCCCAATAGTGCAGTTTTCCTGGCCATGGGGAACCAATGGACTTTGTAGTGGGCCTAATGAATGGGCCCGTGGACCAATCATGCAGTTTGTCTGGACACAGAAAACAAATCGGCTTCGCATGTGGGCGTAATTCATGGGCCCGTGGCCCAATCGTGCAGTTTGTCTGAACACACTGAAACCTAATGTGCTTCGTATGTGGGCCTATGTCATGGTCCCATGGCCCAACCATGCAGTTTTGTTAGAGGCCACAGTTGTGGGCTGGACAAATGGAACTAAATCAAATAGTAATATATATTTGTCAGTAGGAGTCTTTGCAACATTACAATGTCTCTGGATTAAAATATAAAATTTTACTAGCTTAAAAAATTAAGAAAAATTATTTTATATTTATCAAGGAGCCATCGCAGTATACTTTGTTTGGTCCACAAAAGTAAATGATTAATAAAACATCCTATTCAAATTTGTCGAATATTAAATTAAGCTACCAAACATGGTGCTGAATAATATTAAATAAAAATTTGTACTGTATCTAGATACAATAAACTGAATAAACAATGCTTCCATGTTGTTATTACTAGAGATTTAGAAGCCATTGGAATTCGAGAATAGAGTAGGAGAGAGTTTACTTTCCAATTCAAATAAGAGATCCCCAGAACAGAAAAGAATGATATTAGAATTATAAAGAAGAGATTTTGATTTCCTAAAGTAATAATAGCTAAAACTTGGCTAATTGAGGCACTACTTGGCTTGATCTATTGAGAGCCAAAAACAGTAAACAAAACCTCAGGCTGCCCTTTTTTCTTTGTAAGCCCCCTTTAGTCTGCTATTAAAACCAAATACAAACAGCAAAAAGTGTATGAGACTGAATCAAGTGGGTTGTCTTCAACCTGTCAAGATGTGCAGAGAGTGTGTCAGTTTGACATTTATCAAATGTTTAGCGGTTCTGCTTCGGTGTCCCTTTCCTTCAATTGGGTCCAGTCTCCTGTCTCTGAAACATACCAATAAATGAATAAAACTTGTCAAGGACAGTTGAGCTTCACTTCATCGTATACAAAAATACATAGAAAGATGTATGGCAATTACAGTCTTGGGATTTATGTGAAAGCCTGGAACAAAGTTGTTCGTTTATGGTTTGCAGGAACCTAAACAAAAGAAGGCAGTCAAAAGAGCATTATACTTACTTGGCTTGTCAGCTATCACCCTGAGCCGCCTTTGCAATATTGATGCGACAAAGAGGAAAATTGAGCACATACTGAACATAACAGTGATGGGAAACGCATCAACCTTCAAAGCAACCCAAAATAATCAGCAAACGTGCAAAGACGGGAAGAGACAGCAAGAATGCTCGCATTACTTTCCTATTCCTCCTTGTGAGAAATTCTTCTCAACATATTGTAGGAGCATCTAAAAGTTTATTCACTTCGTATACACCCTAAGGTCAGAGATGGAGCAGAATGCTTATTTGGCTGGCCGTAACCAGCCATCAAGGTTAGTAGTAGTAATGTCGAGTATGATTCTAATCCGGTGCACATCCATTGAGGATGCTCAAACTCCTATATTGTCAAAATCCTAATAAAGGCTTAATAAGTTCAGAATAGTAAAGCTATATACTAGTATCCTACAGAATCGAATTCCTCATTAGCCAAACAATAAATAGTAGTTCCTGCAACTTACATTGTACAGCACGACACAAACAAAGATATTTAGAGGAATGCGGAAGAAGTTCATGATGGTGCTCCTAGCCTCCTCAGGAATGTACTGAGACCTCATTTTCATAATGGATGGCCAGAATATTCCGACACAAGACTCAAATGTACAGAAGCCAAGCAGCTGGATGCAACCTGAAAATGAAATGCTCCCACCTTTCACCTTGGAAGGTGCTACCAAGAACTGTTACAAACAACTTTAAGTTAGAAATCTCTTGAAAAAAATAACATTCGGAAAGCAAGGAATGTTTAACACCCCCCCCCCCAAAAAAGAAAAAATAGAGGCCTTAACATACATTGGTTACAATGGGAAGCAAAAGGGCAGCAGCAGAAACTACAAAAACTATCTGCATGTAACTCTCCACTCTGAGTGAAGAGCGAGCCATCAACCGGGAGGCAAGGGAACTTCCAAGCATGGACGCCAGCATGAATGTTGCAAAAATAAAACCATGTGGAATATCCTCGCTATTTGGGCTAAGAGCTGGGGTCCAAAGGAACACAAATGTGTACATCGAACCTTCAAAGAGAGATTGGATGGCACCCAGCAAAGCAATTTTCTCATCTGAAGCACATTGTAAGCTTCAGTAAGAACCAAATCAACAAATCGACAGTAAAGTAACCCCAAAGACAAAAATATAGATATGATCAAGTATTTAACCAAGGGACCCTACCAGAAGCAATGGCAACAGCAGCACCCTTGAATTGGGTAAGTAAGTCCTTGTTCTCCGAAGGATCTCCATAGTTCTCAGTCCAAGATGAAAAAATAATGGCCATACCAATTGCAAGAAAGCATGCAGCAGCATCAAATGGAGCCACAGGACCAAGAGAAAATGAGTCGACAAGAAGATTTCCAAACAATCCAGATACAATAGCAACTAAGCCATTGCCAAGAAATATAGCCTTGGAGAATGTCAGTGATAACCATTGTTGCTCAAAGCCTCTCTGCACTCATGAAAGGAACATAAAATCTAATATTAGCTCATACATTAAGATGGAAGTAATTACAAATTCTTGGTATACTATGTGTTTAAGTTATATAAGTTCTCTGTATCTTTTGCTCTAATGATCTAGCATTGGGAATAAATATAATCAATCATAGATGTAAAAGTAAGAAATAAGGCTCACCTTGTTGTGCTCTGCAACAAGCCAGGATTCAAATGCTGAAAACAAGAGAGAAGTTGCAATACCACCCAAAACACGGCCTATCATCAAAACCTTGTATTCAGGAGAATGCTTGGTGATGCAGCTCAGTATGTAAGTTATGCAGTAAGTTACACACGCCCTCTTTCGACCCCTGAATTTGATACATGAATAGATAACCATTATAAGAAAAACACCAAAAAGAGTGAAAATCACCATAAAACTCAGAAAGTATCTCACTGTTTGTCAGCTAGAGATCCAACAATTGTCCCGAACAACATGGAGGATCCAAAACCAGCAATGAAAAGCTGGCCAATCTCCCCTTTTCCGAACCCATATTGACTGTAAAGGAAGTATACATAAGGACCCTGCAGCCAGTCACCCGCTATTGGCAAATAAACAAAAATATGTCAGACAAATAATTAAGACTATGATCAGTAACTTCAATTCAAATGTTGATCTTCTTTCAAGAATTACCAAAACTAACCCTGCAACTTTAACCAGACTCCAATTATGAAATTTTAGTCGATGGCATAGACTTTAGATCTTGAATTGTTAATGAATAATTTACTTATAGATTAAATATAAATACGGTCATGAAATCACCCATCGAGCAAAATGACCCACAAGAGCTCCTGTTACTTTTTTTCCCTCTTCCTCTGCAAGATCTAACTTACTTCATAATTGATTATACAACTTTGAAGTCTACGGTTTTCCAACAGGGTGGAAAAATTAATACCCGCAATCATTTCATTTTCTTTCCAAACTTTTCTTGACATCAGAAAGAGCTTAATAGATCCACATTCCATACATAATTACTAGTTAATACAACCGATAATGAGTGCCTATTTCATAAATCAGCAGGAAGAAGATCGAAATCCCGAAGACATGGACTATCATACACGAAATTATGAGCAGAAAACCCAATTGGTACAGATTCAAAATATGGCAGTGAAACAATGATTAATTCAGTGGGAAAACAAAATCATAAAAACGCAAATCAAGAACACGGCTGACCAATTTTTTAACCGTAGCTCGGAAAAAGCACAGCAAACATCGTATCAGATCAATTAAATTACACACGCCATGTGCGGACAAAGAATTAGATTGAGATCTAAGATGTGAAAACGTGGAGAAGAACAAAAAGACGGACGGATCCAGATAAAGAGATTAGACTGTAGAGTAATATACCCATCATGAGAGAGTAAACAAGAAGATAATTGTTCTTGAATGATTCGAAAGTGGAAGAAGTGTTGATTCGATCCTTGTTGGTTTTGCTCAGCTCAAGCGCTGCCACCACCGCGGCTAATGCCCCGAATACCAAATAGTAAAACGCCTCCATTGTTGTTGCTCTCTAGCTCGCTCGAACTGCAGAGGGAGAGAGAGAGAGAGAGAGAGAGAGAGAGAGAGTTATATAGAAATGGCTGTTCTATATCCAGTGCTAGTGTGAGATTCCGTGGTACAAACAAGTTGTGAGGATTTATATACAAAAACAGCGTAACGGGAGAACTGGGTCTGGCTTGTTTTCCTTTTCGATCTCATGGAAATGTGATCTGTCACGCATGAAGTTTGTACATTTAACCTTTGACTTTGTTTGGGGGAGAAACGATTTTGACGTCAAGATGTACAATCACAAGCAGCATGGTACTGCAGGAGAAGTGGAGGACGGAGTGACAGAGGATAAATAACGGGTCACGCGGTTTCACGTTCGATCATTTTCTTTTTTAAAATGATAAAACAACATTCAGAGAATGGACACGTGGCGGAATGCGAGATGTACGATGTGAGAAGCCCGGGAACTGGGTGTCGGTGGTCGGATGTCAGCCCCCAGACCGAGACATCCGGCGCAACGCGTCTCTAATATTATTATATGGGAAGTGGGGCCCACCTGTTCACGAAGTCTCCACCGTCCGATCATCATGGGACCCCATGATGGATAATTTAATTTGTGAAATAAAATAATATCTGGGGTATGCTATTTTTTTTTTCCTTTTTTTTATGAAGTATAGATGAGGTAAGAAATTTTGGTCCGGCCAGTCTCTCTCCAATTTTTTAATAAATTAATACTAAAAAATTAACTCGAATATAGAATTAAATTTAAATTTTTATTTTTAAACTGAATGCAGCTAAAATATGTGAAATTTCTCATATAATGATTAAAAAAATAATAATAAATTTGAAATATATTATTTCAATTTAAAAGAATATTTGATATTAGATTATTCTTTTTTATCCTAATGAAATTTCTTTAATTACTCTAAACATAATTTATCGTATAGAAATATTGCAGCAAAATTATAGACACTAATTATTTAACATTTAAAGAAGGAACCCAAATTAGAATATGCTTGAACAAATTAAAAATTTACGTATTTATAATTTCAATTCCATATCAACTTAGTTTTATATACTCTTATAATAACTAATAATTAAAAAAACTAAGAATTATTCCGAACTTGGAAGACCCTTTACGCACCTCCCCTGGGTGGTTCTGTAACTAAACTAAGGAATTTCAGAAACCAATGGTTTGATCATAATGCGAGGGCCCATCAATGCCATATTTGATAATGGAGGGAGGCCTGTAAGGTACAATTTTTGGTAAGTAGGAGAATTGGGTAGGTAGTTCTTGCATATTATATTATTTATAAGGTTGGTGATTTGCCAATTATAAGTGACGAGCATTTGGTCAATTCTTTGTTATTGTAGTGCATATAATCAGGGGCGGTGTGCGAGAGTAGTCGTACCTTTACCCCCACAATACTTTAAAATGCAGAATATGTTTTGGATATAATGTAGAACAATCAAAATAAAATCCTGGTCTCAAAATTTTCTCGAATGATTTCTTAATTTTTACAGAGAGAGAGAAGGCGTCTGAAAGTAAGTAATTGCTCGAACTTTACAAGACTTCGAAAGAAATAATATTTCAAATAATTCCTAATTTGATTTTTGTAACTCTGTTACCTTAAATTTTAGGGTGAACTCTAAATTTCAATATTTCCCATGAAAGTTTTGTTGTAAACCCTAAAGAATTTGAAGTAGGACTAACAAGAAATTACTATACTTAGTATTTCAAAAATTTTATATTATAACTTAATATATGTATATATATATATATATATATATTTATATTTATGAATTAACTTAAGATAAAATTTATTCCAACTAAAATTGTAAAGTATAACATAACTTTAGAAGAAGACATGGGTACTGTCATGAACCCCAAGTATAATCATATTATAAGACCATTGTGATAGAATCAAGTATTATTCCAGAACCTAAAAGTATTGCTAAGATCGCAGGCAATATTATCAACCTAGATACTAATTTTCCAATGTAGTCTTGAAAAATCCCAATGCATTTCGAAAAGACTAAAGTTGCGAAAAGAAAAAGTAACCATGTCCATCAGCAGTATAGTTTAAGCTTTACAAACTCTATAAATATAATTAATAAATTTTTAATTTCGTTTCTCTAATTTTTTGAGAAAATTTTAAAAATGAATCGATCATAATTATAAAATACGGCAATTCATATGTATCACTTGAGCACCTTATAACAACTAGCTAACACATGGAGCCATTGGCAAAAGATGTTTCCTTTATATATTGAAAGGGAAAAAAATAAAACAGTTTTAGGAATGTCGCCCAATAAAAGATCGTCCTAGGCTTAAGAATATTATACCCTACCAGGGGATGGTTTGTCATCCGCGCACCAACAAACCCAAAAACAATTGCACCAGATAGACAAGACGATAATTCATTCTCTGTTGGAGGGAAGCACCCACCTCACAAACACCAAGAATATTATCGAAACATGAGAGCTACCCAGAACCTCAGTTTTTCAAAATCTATCACGAAATGTTGATATAGTCCCTCAAACTCCAAAACCCGAAAATGTTTATAAGAAAACTTGAGGAGAACATGCTTGTATTTGGTAGTATAACCAGAAATTCTACGATGTCTCAGAAATACCTTACTTCTATCATAAATTTTTGGTAATGTAATCATCTGATTACTACACAAGATTACCTTATAAAATTGCCAAGCATGATGTGCCTTACACACCATAGTAGCACCCGCATGATAAACTTAATTTCTACGATGTCTCAGAAATACCTTACTTCTATCATAAATTTTTGGTGATGTAATCATCTGATTACTACACAAGATTACCTTATAAAATTGCCAACCATGATGTGCCCTACACACCATAGTAGCACCCGCATGATAAACTTAATTTCGGTTGGTTACCCCGTGTGCAGAGTGAAATAGGTGTGGGTTTGAAATTTGAATCCCATTTACATGGGCCTAACCCACTTTCTCAGAGAAAGGAGGCGGTGAAATCATGGTAAAGAGGTGATTTTTTTTTACCCACTTTATTTATACTCTCTCGTCAAGTGATCTGTGGGCCTAACAATAAATTATAATGATGGAAAAAGTACACAAAATATTGTAATCTAATGGCATACGTTGTCCCTACCTACCAACATTTGCTTCTCATTGCCGTCAATAGAAAAAAGAAAGATGTGGGGTACCTGAAGATAATCTCAGCCAGCTTGGAAAATTTTGTTTGTCATTACTCATGACTCGTGAAAGTTGGGACACTGCTGCCGAATAAGCAGATAGGGATGAGAGAAATCTGAAAGCAAGCCAACTTCATTAAACATGAACCACAAGTTCAGATTTTTAGAGAAGAAAAATCAACATTCGGATCCTGACAAGCATTTAAACAATTAGAATATAGGATGTAAATACTTTAAGTCTAACTAGAGGCAAAAGCAAGTAAATAACAAAGTATCTTTAACTAAGTGTTCTTGACAACTTTAATGATTTACAAGAACCAATATTGATTTCTCGATTAGAAGTACTCCGGAATGGTTTCACTTACTTCCATTATTCCATGCTCATCTTCTTCTTCATGTCCCAGTTTCTCATCGATACTGCTAATATCCTCTGCAAAAACCACTGAAAATACTTCCTGCTGCTTGAGAATAAGATCAACCGGATTGTTATGGCAGAGATCATTTTCAAGCTCCCCGAGGCACCTGAACATAAAAAGTGCAGCAACAAAACCTGCCAAGTCACCAGGTACTCTCCTAGTTTTTAGTAATCGCTAAAAATCACCCCTGGCGTTTAGTAAATGGCAGAAACTAATCTAAACTACTCTGACTTGGTTCTTTTTTTCTTTTATTTTGGAGGGATTAGCTGAGGAGGACTGGAAGGTTAAAAGAGAATATCTCCTAGAGAAAAGGGTATAAAATTCTCTATTCTCTGTTCTCTGTCTGCTACACAAAACCACAAGTGCATGTAGATATTTAAATTTGCTGTACATGCTGTTAGAAACTATGAACGGAAACGAATATCAATCATCAGTCAGTTTAAACTGACTCTTCAAAAGTTTTGCGTTCAATTAGTACAATTGCATTTAAATTTCATGAACCATAATGTTACGGCCAATTTAGCCATTTGATCTTCCTGCCTAAACTAATCATGGAGAGCTCTCTAATCGTCAAAAAGATAGCTCTCTAATCATCTGCAGAAGGGGGGAAAATAAATATTCTGCTTACTTGAAGAATGATAAATGAGATCATAAAGTAGAGGAATGCAAAACTTGGTCGAGCGGTAGGAAGTTAACAAACTAAGAATCTTGTGAGTCCAAAGTCCTCAATTTGAGCCATAGCAAGTTATACTTGTTGCACGGGTCATCCCACACCATTACGATGAGGGTTTAAGTAGAAAACAGAATATCACTCTTACTAAGTTGAGTCCTTTTTCTTTTGATTGAAAAGAAAAGAAGTGGAAAGATATGGTTACTGTCTGAAGACTTCAGGGCATTTTAAATTGAGCTCTCTGTTGATTACCACTGAAGTACTACTCTTTTCCAGGTAAGAAGTGTTGATCCCAAGGAAGCTCTGCGTCTTCAGAAGGAAAATGGTTTTGTGATTCTTGATGTAAGACCTGAGGCAGAATACAAAGAGGTGAGTTTGCTCATTATACCCAAATAAATTAGACAGTCAAGTTCTAAAGACTCAAATTTGCTATAGTTGAACCTTTTTTAAAAAAATAGTTATAGTTAAACCTATGACTCTGCAAGATAACATTTTTCACTTGAGCAATCTGATGCTGACTGATTTACAACCTGGAGTGTAGGCCCACCCACCAGGAGCTATCAATGTGCAAATATATAGACTTATAAAGGAGTGGACAGCATGGGATATTGCTAGACGTGCTGCATTTGCATTTTTCGGCATCTTTTCTGGCACAGAAGAGAATCCAGAGTTCATAAAAAGTATGTACAAGCAATGTGGTAATCAGTTCAAGTTTGTATCAGGGAATATTTGGATTTAACAGAAGATTCTAAATGTTTGGCATGTACTGACAGGTGTTGAATCAAAATTAGACAAAGACGCAAAGATAATAGTAGCATGCTCAGCTGGGGGTACAATGAAGCCATCCCAAAATCTCCCTGAAGGTCAACAATCAAGGTGATTATATCTTCATGTTTTCGTCACCTTTTACGGTCCAACTCATTTATTTGTATGACTCCATAGCATCATAAGATCTTGGGAACAATTTTATAACCAGTACAGGACTTCAAATACTATTCTGCATAATATTATAGTATCATCCTACAAGGAGAACCTAATATCAGAATTCACGACAAAAGGGAAATCTAGCGACAATATGCCCATACACCCTTGCATAAAAAAAAAACAAAAAAGAAACTTAGACAAGTGAATCACATCCAAAAGAGTAGCTGTATTACAGGAACCCTACAAGCCATAAATTGCTTCAATCTTTCTGTTCTAGAAAGTTGTTGGAAAGCATTGATACATATGCTGGACTGTTTATTACCTGGATGTTGGGACCAATCAACCTAAGAATATTACTGCTTCTTTTACAAACTCCTGCAGATCATTGATAGCAGCCTACTTGCTTGTCCTCAATGGTTACAAAAATATATTCCACTTAGAAGGGGGCCTTTATTCATGGTTCAAGGAGGAGTTGCCAGCAGTATCTGAGGAGTGATATTCACATCCAAAATGGAGAAACATGGAAAAGCTCAAGTTTTGCTCCACATGGAAGTGTTCATGTAAATGTTTCATGCCAGACTATTTTGTCCATAGATTGAAAACATTCTTTGTTTCAAACTGAGATCTAAACCTATTAGGAGGCTTATTTCATTGAACATCCAATCTAGATTCCTTTTCTATAAGTTGATGTTATCTTTATTATGTTACTGGTAAAAAGAAAATGGCATCAGACACTGAGCTGATAATCTTAATTGAAAGCCAAAATTTTACTGATTAAGCCTATTGAATCTGTTGCAGTCAACTATAGCAAGGACTAAACAATCGAGAAAAAGTTTCCCATCAAATGTTCTGAGCAATCAAAGCAAGCCACAGTACTTCAGCTGTGGGACTATAAGATATTACAAAGCAAAGTACAAAATTAACTACAAGATGTCATGAATTGCTTTCTTATGGTAACAGGAGGATTATAAGATAATACAAAATTGACTTCTTATACCCGTAAAAGTCTTAGAACAGTTGACTTGTCACAGTACCTCAGCAGGCTCGCTTATAAGCCATCAGGAGGAATTTGCAAAAATCATAGACATAGTACATGGAATGCTGCGCTAATACGACTTAGAACAACAGTGTTTGTGATAGTACCTTGACTGCCACTGACATCCCCACAGAACGGAACATGGTATCGTGCTAGTCAATTACAGGTACAGGAATCAGCTCAAATGTACTATAGTAGGCTTAGGGGCACAGACCATGGCCCAACCAATTATTATTCTTTTTGGCTTAGGCTTTCAATGAGGCTCTTGCCATAGCCAAAGCACCCTCGTAACTTCGATTTCCACCAATGAATCCACTCATATGGACAAAAACACAACCAGGAATCCCTGTCACCTTAGAGAGCTTGTAAGTTTCCAAACCCCTCCACGATAGTGGTAGCGGTTTACGGTTCTCAAACCTATCAGGCGAAACTGCCACTGCCTGCACTCGCCAATTCCCACTTCTGTCATCCTTCAAGTTTGCAATAAAACCATTATTTTCTTCCAGAATTATTGTGGACAAGATGCAGTATGTTTGATGCATGGTTAATGCTTGTATGATGTTGCATGTGATCCACGCTCCTCAAGGAGACAACAAATTGGTAAAATACATTATTAGTACCTGGTAAAGAACATATTTGATGGAAGGATCAATCTTCATTTCCTCCTCAAGTTCAAAAATGTGCAGCTTCCACTGTCCAGAAAAAGGAAAATCTAGCCAAACTTCCAACAAAATGAGGATGCTCTATAAAAGCTATAAAAATTAATCTCACAATTGTTAACCAAAACAAAAATGAAATCAAAACTAACCCATGCTTATATTTTTGCATGTCGAAGTCAGATAATAGACACTTTACCAGAAATAGAACAAAAGTAATCACTACTAGCTTACAGGACAAGGTTTAGTCAACACCATGATTTCTCCACTGGCATCAACATCTCCTCTTGCTGTAAGACACCCCATTACAACCATCCGAGCAGGTAACCAAGATTTTGCATGAAAATGAATACTCTATTACAAAGAATATTAGGAAAAATTAGTAAATATGTCCTTCAAGAAACATATTAAGTTAAAAACAAGAAATAATCTAAAACACCAAACCTCCAAAAATTCACTGCCAGCAAGTTCCATGGCACGTTGAAAGGCTTCATTCTCAGACTCATTTGACTGATCAGAATCCATCCAATCCAAATTCAATCTTCCAACTCGAGAAGATAAACTAGTATTATTTTCATATCTTGGAGGTTTATCAGAGTCGTACTGATTGATTCCATTGTCAACAGCATCAATTGCCTGTTACAGCCCGATTATGTTAACAGCTTAAATTTCCATTTATCACCCGTTATCAATCACTGACGAAAACTCTAGGGCCGGATAACACGGAATAGATAGAGAGCAGGAGGATATGCAGAATCCATCACCTCGATAAAGTTTTTATATACTGCTAAGAACAATCTATCCACATTTGGATGTCCTTTATCGAGTTGAAGTTGCTTGGAAAGAATCTCTGCCCCGTAATGCTGGAGAGAAAAATTTATCAGAATCTGAGGAGCAAAATCTTAGCTCCATCCCATTGAAAAAAATAACTAGAGAACTCACAAAAGTATAATAAAATATATGAGTTGGTATTTAGAAGCTTCAGACCTTGTAGACAAGGCCAGCACTGCTGAGTTTAGTATTAAATCCATGACCAAACACTTCCTGAAATCCTTTCTGGTGATGGTCGTAACGATCTCGGTTAGGATCACACACGCCACTAACATCGAGCACCGCATCGAGCGTGTCCAGCACCTGATTAATAGCAATAATAATAATGGAGAAAAGACTGGAAAAAAACTCGTAATGTCGTTTGTTTTCGAGGAAAATGAATAGAAAGAAACATTCGATCTCCCAATACTGAGTTTTCTAGGGAACCAAAAGAAATGAAGGCTGAGTTCGAGTATGAGATGAACCTGAGGGTCTCTTGTACGAACTATCTCTGCATTGGAGAACTTATCTGTGAGACGAATCATGAAGCAAGCGAGAGCGTCATCGCAATGAAAGCTCCCACTATGGGTGCCCACTCGCCTCGCCTCTGTAGAGAAAGCAAAAACCCTACCATGAAAATCCCCCGCAGAGTTTGCTGTTGCTCGTCTTAAGGGATTGTTTGTGTTTAATGGAATTCGCTTTCCGCTTAGAACCGCGAATTTTTGAAGCAACACTCTTACTCCAACCATGCCCGCCTTTCTGCTAGACTGCTTCGTCGCTCTCCGGGAAACGAAGGCCCTTACTATTATAATATTTTGGTATAATTTATTTGCTAAATTATTATTTTGTTTGCTACACTATTTTCTTAGTGCTTAAATTTACAAACCATTTTTATTTCTGATATTTAAAAAACTTTAATGAAGTAGAAAGAATTTTTTTTATTTGTTATTCATATTTTGTTTAAATAATAGTATTGAAAGTTTACAAGGAGAAAAAATTGAAATTTGTAAAAACAAAATAAAATAACTTTTTTATTTGGTTTAAATAATGTAATAATAATAATTTAAAAATTACTAAAAGCATGTTTTAAAACAATTTTGCACGTTCATTAATTAAATTATAACCAAAAAGATTATATTAAATTGTGATGTAACTTACAGTTCACTTGCCTTAATCAACTCTTCTATTTAAATTATTAATTAGTAATCCACTTCTGAACTCTAATACATCCTTAATCCATGGACCTGTAAGCTTTCCACCCAAGGAAGAAGAAAAAGCCAAGAAAATGAGCTGCAAGACATTTCAATAAAATCCTCTTTCAAGCGCAAAGCCTTTTAGTGTCATACTTATGAAAATCCACATTATAAACCGCGTCAAATACATCAATAATCCATGCAAAGCACCTACATATAAAACATAAATATATATATATATATATAAGAAGAAGAAATAAGGAATAAATACTGATTTGGGGGTTAACTCGGAAGCCCCATTACAGTATAACACTAATGTCTGAAACTGGCAGATTTTCCCGAGTGTTGATATACGATCACCAAAGGTCCAAAATACAGAGATTTGAGGCAAAACTAGTAAGCAAACTGCATAGAACGATAGAAGCATTTATCAATGGCATTTCCTGGAAAGACTGCAAATAAGAAGTGAACCAAAACCAAGGACGGATGTTTGCCCTCAACTGTAAGCCATAACGACTTAATACGAAGAGACAGACATCACATAAGTAGCTTCACATAGGAACCTGAATTGAAGTCCTTTAAAGTTTTATCCCCACACGAGTCATGTATATTATTGCAAGAATGTCGAAATGAAGCTGCAAAAAGCAAGTATACAAATGCCACTGTAAACCTTCTGAATATTACCTCCACTTCAGCAATTTCGTACAAAATGTTAAAGCTTTACAAGGTGTCACAAAGCAGCTAATCTTCCACTTTCTTTGTGCAAGATGAAGAACCAATTCTCAATCAGGAAGTTTCCTGCAACCTGTATATTGTAATTTCCTGCTGCTTAAAATATCGACGGTCCTCTTCATCAACCAGAACAAGATTCAAAAAATATTTAACACTGAACTTGTTGTTAATGTTGCGATGTGTTGGTGTCAGATCGTAAGGGCTAAGAAACAGTCTGATTGGTATTGATTCACCTGAAACATAAAAGCATACTAAGCCACTATACAAAGACGATAGCTAACACATTATCTCAAACATAATTATAAACCTTATTAAATCTTCTGAAGAAAATGATTTAGCTTCTATCATGACATGGCAACGACTAAATAGTAAATATATAGGAATGAAACTGAATCTTTCTGCAACATCAACGATGATAGAAGTTAGGATGTGAGGAATCAGAATGAAAACCATGAGTATACCTCTGACTGGAGCACCATCCATTAACTCAAATTTAGCCAGTGTCTCTGTCTCCACATGAGTATTGGCCCCTGCTCCTGTAGATTCTCGACGTCTAATCTCAAGATCCATATTTTTTATCTTGATTCTTACTAGAAGAAAATATATCTTCCCAATGATTACATCTTTCAAGTGATACCTGTATTGATTTGAACTCCAATAAACAAATTATGTAAAATTTCTCTACCAATCTAACTTAAACAAGATAACCACAACAGGGATAAAAAAAAATGGTGTACCAAATATTCCTGAACTTCTCAGTTGAAACTATATAAATCCTTTTAGAATATTCAAAAAGAAAATCCAAAAGACAGATGTTTCTGATTCAGGGTACATAAGCCATGCATAAGAATATATGGCCTGGTTGCATCAACAACTTCACATAAGTATGAAGAACCAACAGCTTTTTTGCCCAGAGCCAGTGGCTCCATTTGGCATCACACTCGATTGTGAGCTTTCGACAAGAGGTTCAATCTTACTTTACGGCTCCCAGGGTTTGTCTTCATATTACGGGGCGCAGCCCCAAAATATCTGCTTTCCTCCTACCAAGTTCAACCACTAACTACAACCTTAGTGGCAAAAGAAATTCAACTTACTTGCTTTTATTGTACTCAAACTCAATGTGCAGGCAATCTTCAATACCAACTTCCATCTGTACAGGACATCAAGACTTTATGAAATTAAAAATTACCACTATTCACAAGTAAGAACTGTTCTGCAATCTTTGAGATAAAAGCAACGCAAACCTATAATAACATAAATCAATATGCAACTCTCATTGTCAATGGCTAAGAGTAACTATGAATTACTTAGGTTATAGTTTCACCATACAAGTAAACACCTAACTCACCTTGATGCTATTGTTAATTGGAGGAGGTGGGGAATAGTTGCGAACCTGATATGGAAACAGGAAAACAAGAAATCATAAAAACATTTGATGCAAAAAATCAGATAATGCTTCTATTTTCAATAGAAAAAAAATAGAAACATCACACTCTCTTCTTTATTCTCAACAAAAAAACTGACAATACTCTCCTTCACCGATTTCATTGTCAAGTGTATAAAAACATCACAATTTTGTACAGGATGATATGCAGTGAATCATAGATCAATATCTATAATCATGTAAGGTCAATGAAGCAAAAATGTCGAGTAGCTTGCTGCAGGCTATGAAAAGCCAACCATATCCATGTTTAATATCTAGATCATTTCTGTCTGCATTTCTGTGAATGAACGATGGTAGAGAATTAAGATATCTACCACAAAGTCCTGGTATTCCACAATACTTCCAGCATAACCACGACTGACTGTCACCTTCAGGACATACCTAAAAAGACCAAATAAGAAAACTATTGAAGTACAAGAAACAAAAAGGAAAAATAGTTAATTAAAATGTTGATTATAATACCATATTCATCATCACAGACCCATCAATGTCAAAAAGTAAAGTCACGAAAGCATCCAGATCTCCTAAGTCAGGAAACTGAAAACTTTCATATAGTGTAGCCTACAAATACTTCCCTTTAACTTCTTACAAACACCCAGGTACTAGCAATATTTTATAGACAATATGACAGAGTATATGGCAGCAACTTAACATCCACAAGGAACTGCAAACTGCATCAAAATCTTAGGAAGCATAACATCTAAACATCAAAGCAAGGAAATAAATAAAGTGCAAACAGTGGCTCATAAGAATCAGGTAATGTCTTTTCCATATATTTTTGCCATTCAGCCACATAAACATACAACAAGAAACTGAACCTTTAGATCATTTAATAGGCTACCATATTCCTTACGTTCTTCCATTATCCCAGCAGACAGCTGCCAACAGGACTAATAGTTTAGAGCAAAAACGAAATAACAATCCCAAGCCCAACAGGAAACTAGCAATTAAAACTGACTATAAAATCTATGGAAAGAGATATATGCACCAAACCCAGGTGCCAATAACAGACATAAGAAACTAGTTTACATAGGTCCTAAGAACTAAGAAAGCCCACAACATAATTTTGAGCCACCTAAAACATCTGGAAACTGAAAGCTTAAAGATCAACAAGACCAGCAGGATGAGGAAAGGAGAAAATATACACAGAAAACCTCATTAGATCATTTAAACTCGGGAAATAGCATACCTAAGCCGCACATTCACTCCATTGTATGTTTCGTATGGCATTTCAACTGTGGAAAATTCAAATGGATATGTTTTCCTTTCATATATTTCTCCGGGAACATCAAGTTCACGCACTGCGAACAAGTAATAGAATGACAAACAACCAAAGGCTAATCAATGACTGGACAGAACAAATGAAAAACAGAAACCAGTCAGAAACAATATAATCATAAGAATAAGGCAATGTTAAGGAATAACCATAAGCATGATACAGGTTGTAAATAATCTTTAATTCAAAAACTACTGCATACGATAACAGGAAACCGCTCAGCAGTTCAAAAACAAGCGCAGAAAAACAAAATTAAGAATGAACTCACCAAGGGATGTAAAGTCATAAAAATTTCCTCTGTCGAAGTACATCTCTGTTAAATCCAAAGTACTGTTATTAAGTATGCAAAAATTGGCAAGAGAACAGAATCAATTCTGATGTCTCTAGTTTTCTCATTTTATAAGAAACATTGGAAGTTATAGCAAGGACACACCTATCTGACCAAGAAGTTCAACTTTAACACCGTTATGTTCAACTTTTTTCCCCTGTGATGGCTCTATAGAAATCTAAAGAAGACACCAAACAGAAAAGCTTTCAACTCATTGGCACGAGTGATGTGGATATTAAAACCACTTAGAAAGTAATATACACTCCAATGTCCAACACTCACAAATATCCTGGCAAGCAAAATACCTTTCCAGAAATATTTTCTTGACTTTGGAAAAGTGGCACCATAATTGTTTGACCATTTTCCCTCTTTATAGAAACCTATAAGATCATAAAATAACAAAAGAAAGAACTATTGTCATCAGCATAATAACCACTATATTCTAACTGGTTCATTGTGGAAATGAAATAGTCCACGTATTATTTGCATTGAATTAAAGCAACCTAGAAAACTAAAATTCACATGAACACACAGTATACTCAGTATTTTGCAAGCATTCTGCTTGCATGATGAAGTTGCTATCCTTTTTTTTAAAACTTAACTGGAAACAACAACAACAACAACAACAGCTACCAGATCCAGTAAAAATAGCATGAATAAGTTCACACACTTAAAGCAATTACTAGTTCATTTCCATTTCTGTTCCTTGAAACTGATGCTAGCTATTTACACAAAGAACAGCAGTTCTGGAATGTTAGTAAGCTACCTGTTTGCGGTTTTTTCCATCAGCAAATGTAATTGTAATGTTACACGCAGGCTTAAAAGCTCCAAGAAGGTAATTCTGCCAGATGAGCAAAAAAATCAAGATTCCAATCAGCTCGTTAACATAGAGAAAAATAAAACACAAAAATTAAGAGATAACCATTCCCACGGGAACTTACCATACTGTTTAAGCTCAATCCCAAATATAAGAACCTGCTTAAGAAAAACACAATGGAAGTAAAATTTCAAGTTCAAAATCCAACGGCACACAATAATTAAACATTCACTAAAACCCTGACGCAATGAATAATGAAAACTCAGCTCCCATCCAAAGACGGTGACAGCAAGATACAAATCAGATAAAAAGCAAGTATAATGCAAGCCAAAACCCTACATCTTAAGAAGTACATACACATTTAAAACAAACATGAGAAAGATCACAATTAAATCGAAATTAACGCGTAATTCATGAAAAATGAAAGGAAATATAAATCCCGCCAAACGAGAGGCGAATGCAGTGGGGAAATGATCGGGATCAAACAGATTCCCGCTCAGCTGAGTCAGATCATACAAGATGCAAAAACCAGAGAAATCCATGGGTCCAAGAGAAACGAAAGGAGAAATCGGAGAATAGACACCTGAAAATAGAAAACAGAGATGTCGTTGAGTCGGGAGAGCCGGAGAAGCAAGTGACCGAATCGAGGAAACTCGAAATTTTGACGGTTAGGGAGGAGGACGATCGAGGCCTGGATGAACAAAAGCTTCGTAAACGTCGACTTGACTGTCACATGCAGATCACGTGATCTCAGGATAGTTTTTCTGAGTCCTAAGTTGGTCCTTTAATGGGCTTGACTCGGAAGTAGGTATTGGGCTTAATCGATTCCTTATATTTTGATATCATATAATTTATATTAAATATTTAAATATTGTATAATATTTATTACAAAATATGGACCAAGGAAAATTAGTCGTAGACCCATACTTCGTATATTTTACATGAATATAATAAATGATGTAATAATATATTATATATAAGACTCCTTATCAAATTTATATATTTTTTAATATTGTAAATATGTTTACTATATACTAATTTTAAAACTAATAATTGGTCAAAAAGTGGAATCTTAGAATGACGCCTTATATCTCCACAAAACGTAGCACAAATCTTACTAGAATTCTTAATTGTTGAGATTAGAAATAAAGCAGTTGATTCAGTGGCGCGGGCTGCGGTAAAAGGGCTCGGTGTGATTATGTTAACAAAAATTAGCTTAGTGGTAGGTTAACAGATTGATCGAGTACAGAAACAAACAAGACTTTCGAAAATAAATACAGTTGCTTGCAAACAAATTTAGGAAGGATTAAAATATTTGACTGCACTGACAGTGCCATGAAGTATTAAAGAAAAGAATAATACAGTGTTTTTTTACTCCAAACTGTAGCAATGAAATCAGAAATTGTACAGGGTTTATGTCCCAAATTACAGTTGAGTTACGCACTTTCTATTTTGAATTTAAAGTAATCAGGAAAGGAAAAAAAAGAAAAAGCTCTACTGTGAAGAATAAGCGCTTTTAATTAAGCTGGACCTGCTTATCTGCAGAAGCTAAATCTAATGGCTCCTCTTTCCTTCTGCTTCCAATTCTCAAAAACCCATACAGCTTTTTGAACTCCTTCACATGAACACTCTCTCTGCTAAACAAGCTTCCGGAATCACCCGACTCCTCAAGTAATTGACCCGACCCGTAATCGCTCAATCTCCGGCCCAGTTTGTTGGACTGCAAAGCGGAGATAACGGATTTCAGTGCCCGAGAAGGCGAGTTTCTGTTGGCAATCATGATGTCGCTTATCTCCTCTTGGCTCAAATACGCACCGTTTTGGAAACTCTCCTCCACTTGGGGGAACAGCTTGTGCTCTTTGACCCCTAAACAACTGGTGGCCAAACTCTTAAACGCAGAGAAATCACACGGCGGGAAATGTATGTGAACGTCGATCCTTCCCGGTTTTATCACCGTTTGATCAACTTGATCCTTGCCGTTGATTGTGAACACCATCACCCGTTCTTCCCCGCAGTACGAGATGATTCCGTCCATGAAGCTGAGTATCCCGGAGAGGCTCACCGCCGTTGATTTCGCTGACAATAACTCGTCGAGATTTTCTATCACGATCAGTGATTTGGTCGTGGTTTGTACCAGGAGCATCTTCAAGTCGGAGTCATCGGAGACTCGAGATAAATCGATGTTGTAAATGTCAAAACAGAGGAACCTGGCCATTGCGGCGATGAAACTCGATTTTCCGGTACCGGACGGGCCGTAGAGAAGATAACTACGCTTCCAAACACGGCCTAGTCGATGGTAGTACTGCTTGGATTTGACGAAGAGCTCGAGGTCAGACTTTACCTTGTTCTTCAAGTCGCCGTCCATCAAAACCGTGTCCATGGTCGCAGGATGACTGAACGGAACCGATTTCCACCGTCCGTTTTCGCGGGAACCATTCTCCATGTTCAAGTACAGGTTGATCTCGCCTTTCCTTAGGTCGATATCATCAGCAACGGACAGAATGTGTTGCATGTACGGACGCAAGACTCGACGCTTTTCTTTCTTCCTCAGTCTCAACACGAACGCTCTTCCGGCATCGCTATCGGATTTCTCGCTCGTCCACCAAAGCCTGGCGCCAAGAAACGAGTCGGAAATTCTCTGAGCCGGATCGAGGCGGAGAAGGATGTCGTTCGGCTTGGATCCTGTGAAGAGGTTCGTGAAATCGGAGTCCTCCACGGAAGGGAGAGAATGCAAGTAAGTGTACACTTTGCGGTAGAGCAGGTTTTCCTGTAGATTTTCGTTGAATTGGGGTACTTTGTAGGACTGATACAAGTACAATCTATCTTCTAACGATTGCCAAAACGCGGCAATGATGTGAAGAACAGATGTTTTCGATAAAAATCGAAGAACACATAAAAGGACTGCGACGAAGATAACATAAACCAGTAGCATCGTCGATTGTTTCGATCAAAATCTCAGATGAAGTTGAGATGCAATGCGTAATTTGGAAAGTGGGGAATTGAATGAATCTGTTGAAAATTCAATGATGGTTGTGTGTGGGGGGGAGTTATTAGGCATTGGCTGGAGCCGGCAGGAAGTAAGAAGATTAGGTCAGAGTGAGAAAGGAGCGTTCTTTGCGAGCAGTGATGACTGACCATATGGACTATTATGACATTAGAAGGGGCAGTTGATTGATAAATTATACACACACACATATATGTGTATATAATTTTTTAGGGCAAGCAAATTATTATAATATAATGTTTTTATTTGTATAAAATAATTATTTGAAGCATACTTTGCGTACTTACGTATTCAATTATTTTGACTTCTAAATAAGCCTCTATTAGGCCTGTGACTTGGTGAGGGAATTAAATATTTGGAATTAAATTATTTTCTAAAGTGAATTTATGTGTTCAAATTTAGGGATAATATTATATATTATTCGCAATCTATATGTGTGTATATATATATATATATATAAAAGATACGTATATAATTTGTGTAGTTTTATTTTATACACTTGGTGTCTGCTGTAAGCTGCTGCGAAAGGACTAAGGTCAAAGGATCTTAGTAAGTAAAATTATTAAGTTGTTCAAGTCTCTCTTATCTCATAAGCTGTTGATTGCTGATTTCTTCAACGAACAACCATTTGATCCGATAGTGTATTTCTTCAAATACATATCTCTATATATACATATATATATATATTTGTTTTTCGACAGTCTAACAATATATTTTTTTTCTTTTGCTTGTAAAACTTTTAATACTTTTCTTGAAAAGTTAAATTTCTTTTGTAGTACAAAAAATTAATCTTTTACTTTAATTTTTTTTTAAAAAAAAAAGGTTTAGATCGAGATTTTAATTCATTACAACTACTAATTAAGAGATTATAATTATCATAAAATATTCATTTTATTTATAACCGAAACGGGTTCTAAAATTTAATTAAATTTGATATTCCGAACGTTAATAAAATTAAAAAAATTTAACCATAATAAATTTTTTTATTTTATTTTATAAACGTAATAAGTTAACCGAAATTTAACTCGATCTTATCATCGATTCTACTAAATCAAATATTGTACATTTTTTTTTTATTTAGAGAAAATATTAATATACGATTCCAACAGTTTTATAGGATATAAAATCTTATAATAGAGTAATATTTTGTTTGGGTTTCACCCAATATCTATGTATATATATGTATATAACTTGGATGAAGATACATTTTGTACCGAGATTTGGTGCCAAAAATCCAAGTTGATTGTGTCCGGTAATATTAGCTTACAAGTTATTACGGTAGTGTTGGTGGGGAATCAATTATCAATGGATCTCTGTCTTCTCCAAATGACCTTTCTTTGTATAAAACATGGCTTTTCTGTATGGTTCCTGTACTACAAGAGAACAGAAAGGTGACAGTCATGGCCATATATATATATACATTTCAACGTCCAGCTACACAAAACGAGATGCGTCACTTTCTACAGTTCAATGAGACTTACGGCATCAGTCGTGTTACTGTATTTACATACAGGAATTATTACTGTCAAAAAATGGCGAGTGCTTAGATTTAAAAACAAGAAATTATTTGACTCCAAAAAACTAGCAGAAATACCCAGTAAAAAAAAAAAAAATGGCAGGCAATATCTTCGCAACAGCCAAGACAAAAGGGTAAATCAGAAATTTACAGAGTTAAATTTTTTTTACTGAACTAACAAATCAAATGAATATAAAAGTAGAGCAGCTACTTGGGAAGAACTCAGATTTAGACGATGTATTTACTCAATTGTTTGAATGGCATTATAAGAAGATGGCTGGACCAGTACTTTTCTTGCCAGCTCTTTCAAACAGGCCTTTTAATCATTCATGCCAAACGCAACATGCGTATCATATTCATATGAACAAAAGATGGCCTGGAAAGAGAACCAAATGATGATCATAACATGTTTTCAATGAATAAACTATTCCTTTGCCGAAAAAGCTGGGACTTGCTCTTTTATCCTCTAGCAGAAAAGCTGGAGCTTACACTTTTAAAATATCAGAGGGGGGGGGGAAAAAGAAAAAATGGAACGTAATGGCTTATCTTAAAATAAGCTGCAATTCAATTGTATAGTAATTGTTAAACTACAAATAAGAATAAAGATGACACACTTATTAAGGCTTCCATTGTATCTGCTCTTCTTATCTTATAGACAGAAAAAGGTCACCGCTCTTGGACGGACTTTTAGCAAATTGAAAGAATAGTACCAGTCGATGATTCAATGCCCATGGAGCAAGGCCATGGAAATCTTTTTTCACGAATGACTTAACTTTGACTGGCCAGAATAATGATTTAGTGTTGATAAACAAATGCTAAATGAAAGATATACTGACCGCTAAACCAATAGAAATAATAACTGTTCCAGGAATATCAAAAGCATCACCAGCTTATGATATAAAATGCTAAAGAACAAATGTGGAGTATTTCTAAGAACATTCAATCTTAAGAGAGTGCCTAGATCAAATACTGATGGCACCCAAGCTGTGTCAAACTATATAATTTGCATGTTAGATGCCCAATACCCAAAAAATATTTGACAATGAAAACTAGCCAGATTCCTTGGAGCATCACTCTACACATACCAGAATACTACTACAGATGAGTTGGATTTAGGGTACAAACTTTAGGGTTCCTGAGAATCTGATTGAAGGTTGATGATTTGGGAGACCACAAGCTTAGAGAGCTCATTTATTGCAGCTTGGACTGGATAATCATCTGACTCCCTTTGCCTGGCCAGCCACGCAGATGGTTGTGAGGTTAACCCAACATACTCACTGGCAGCAACCTTTGTCTTTTTTGTAGAGGCAAGAACTTTCTCCAAATCTAACTGTGACAATGGCCGAGGAGCCTGAAAAATATTTAAGAAAGTCAACAGACTAAAGCATACACAGTAAAGGAAGGTTACTAGTTGAATGCATAGTGCAAATGTGAAAGCAAAAAGTTGCTTTTGGCCCAAATATCTAAACCTAAACAAATGTGGTGTTTAAAGCAGCTAGAGCAGTCAGCAGAAGTTAAGATTTAAACATAAACGAATCTAGAACATAAATAGAAGAACAAAGCAGCTTGATCCTAAACAAAGCAATAACACCAAAGGCATTCAGACCTCGGACCAATTTAAAAGGATAGTTTGAGATTGGTTATCTTGTCTTTATGAGAAACTTTCAGCACCTTGTTTCAATTACTGTTTGGTAATAAAACAAGTTAGATGCTTAACACAACTTTTAAATAGAAAAGATAAGCATTATATTTTGTAATTTTTTTTCTATATTTAGTTTGCTAATCTAATTTTATTTCTACCTCTTACACATAATTATTTCCTTTTTAGTAGAACCTGCCTAATCTAAATATAGTACAGCCCCTAATGCTTAAAGTTAACTCAAAATGTTTCTTTAAGTAATTCCAAACACCCTCTAAAGCAAAATAAATGAAAAACCTACTATAATACATCAGAAGTTGGTAACAAGTCCAGGAATAATATATAAACATACTGATGATGGCTTTCCAGTCTTCTCTTGATCTAACAGTTCCCTGATAGGAAAATATGCTGCCTTTTTACAGAGTTCAAGAAGATCAGACCCTGTATATCCTTCACACAAACTGGCTACTCGATCATAATCAATATTGTTTTCGACCCTCTCACCCTTCAAAATCACTTTTAATATCTCAGCCCTCTCCCTCCTGTCAGGTATCCCAATCTCAAAGGCTTGAGGTAGACGTCGTAGTATAGCTTCATCAAGTTCTGATGGGCGATTTGTCGCAGCAAGAACCATCACTCTTGCATTGTCTAAAAAATGCAACAACAGAAAAATATTAATACTGAGATTAACACTATTTAATTCAGAGAGTGATTTAACTCTATGCAAATGTGACTTATTTGCAAGGGAAACAATTACATATTAAGATTTTTAGAAGCAAACAATTAGTGAGAGAAAACTCACGATCTGTGGTAAATCCATCCCATAAAGCCATGAACTCGGTCTTCATGTTTGTTAAGGCTTCATGATCACTAGCACGTCGCTGACCAAGAAAGCTGTCAACCTCATCAATAAATATAATAGCTGGCTGGAGTTTATAAGCCAAGCTAAAAACAGCAGCAACTGCAAAAGGATCGCGACGATTAAACACTAGGCAGTAACCAACATACGGGCAATTAACCAATATTCACAACAGGCAGAGGCATCCATCTTGTAAGGCCTAGAGCAAATATAAGGATAACACGTTCCATACTAACGAGGAAGAAAGGCAAAGATTAAACCCACAAGACCAGTCAAGTGATCCACTCAATAGACCACAATGGTAATAAATCCCATTCAGTCACATGATGAAAGTAGCTTAATTAAAAGTTTAAGACAAACAACAGAATAACTTTCACACACTCACCAAGTTTCTGTGCATCCCCGAACCACTTGCTCATTAGATTGGAAATCCTCACATTGATGAAAACAGCTCCAGACTCTTTAGCAATAGCTTTCGCAAGCATAGTCTTCCCAGTACCAGGAGGACCATATAAAAGAACCCCTTTCTGCTGACCAAGAAGCTTCCCATGAGAAAACAGCTCAGGCCTCCTCAAAGGAAGAATGACAAGTTCATATAAAGCTTCTTTGATGGTTTCCAATCCCCCAATGGAGTCAAACTCCACATCAATATGGTCAGGATTTATGACATCACAAGCTATTACATCCTGTTGAAGGGGAAAAAGCAGAACTCAAAACATAAAACAACAATAAAAATAATGGCGTAGTTAATAATTAAAAAGACAATTTTTTAAAGTCCATAATTCTCTAGGTACAGAGATTTTTCAAATTGAAACTAATTCCTTGAAAAGATGTATAAAGATTAAATCGAAAAAAAAGAAACATTCTAACATGGCAGGTTCAAGAAATCCTAAATTTATCCCACATCATTATCATTCATTTAAGGAAACTAACTAAATTTTTTAGTCAAGCAAAATCTAAGCAGCTTACTCTGTCTACATTTACATTGCATTGTAAACAAAACCAAATTGGTCTCACACCTAATAAACCTAGTAATTCAGTTATCCATCAAAGAAACCTTATCCCAGACCATTAGACTCATTGTCCCTATATAGGAAAACTACTTCGTGAAACAGTACGAAGATTCACTCCACTTATTCTGCCCATTTAATACAAAACCAAATTAATAATGTCAAGTTATTACCGCATTAATAATTTGATTATGAATAATTTGATATACTTTAATGCTTCACTATCAAAAAACAATACTGATGCAGCATTGCATATTTTAATTTGAAGGTTGTTATTTTTTTCACCGTAATCTATCATCTGTTGTATTGGTAATGAGTCAGATTACTCATTAAAGAGAGCCCAATGCCTATGTTTGGCATACAGAGAGAGGATTTTCTTAAATTCTTAAAAATGGAAGCTTAATTGCAATAAGTTCAACAGAAAACGCCATATACTATCCCCAAATAAGCAATTATAATCTCCACAAATCCAAATATATCAAATTATTCATAATCAAATACCATATCCAAAATGTTCTGATTCAAATTCAATAACGTCTTAATTAAAAATACTAATTCTACCAACAAAACTCAGATAACCTAATAACTGAAGCTTTTGAATTATTTAACAAATTGAAAAAAAAAAAAAAAAACCGACGAACAACAAAACTAAGAGACAACCAATACCTCGTAGGGCGTGGTATTAATTAGAGGACGACCCAAGCGCTTAGCGATTTCCTTCTTGTGCTCAAGCGCCTTCTTCGATGCCTCCCTGTTCGGGTCGAGGTGTCTGAGCCCCGCAAACAATACCAAGCAGCTCAGCGCCGCACTGGCCGCGTACAAAATCAGTTCCTGCAAGAACTTTGTCTCTGAACCCGCCATCCCTGTATACGTATATGTCGATGGATAATCAACAAGCACAGAAGTAGCGTATCCTCTCTTTGCTTACCCTCTCTGCTAGTACACAGTCAAAATAAAGGTTTCCAGTTATGCGGTAACCAAAAATAGAGGAGCCGATCACCAAAGCATAATAAATTTTGGGGACGACGAGTGGCGGAATTGGGTTTCTGTATTGGGGCTCCGGGAAGACGAAGAACCCCCCCTCTTTTGACAGGCGTATGAACCGACCCCGATAATTCGAGAATTTACTGAAACGCCCCTCATAACAGAGTTCGTGTTTTTTGGTCAAAACTGAAAAGTGTTTTTGAAACGGAGTTTCTCCGAATGGGCTTCAAATGTAAACCAGCCCAAATATAATATTTAGTCCACCACAACTTGTTAATCACATAAAACATTTATTTTCATCTTCATTATATTATTATGTAAATTTTTTCTATGAATACTATACATACACACACACACACACATATATATATATATCTATACTTTATTTTGAAACAATTACAAACCCAAATTTACTCCAAAAAAATTACATATATATATAATCTTACTAATAAAGCAATTAATTAAAATATTAAATTTATTAAATTAAATATTATAAATTTATCGTTATAATTCATAATATACTCATTATTATTCATGTTTGCTTTTAGACGAATATATATATATATATATATGTGTGTGTATGTGTCATGAATTTATGATCGCCTCAATTTCGTGTACAATCATTTTTGTGCATGGACTTTACTCTAAATGCATCTTTCTAGGTGACCCATTTTTTAAAAAAAGAATATTTTATACAAAAAAATATTTATGAATATATATATATATATATAATGGATTGCGTGATTATCCTTTCATGGTATTTTTTAAAATAAAGAAAATGGTATTATATGTTCTCAAGGTATGTACCATATTATAATTATATAATTTAATTAATGAATGAATTATGAATTTTCAAATTTATAATTCTAAACGTAACATTTTATGCAACGTAATATTTTTAAAAATAAAAATAAAAAATTTATATATCCTCCCCAAAAAAAAATGTTATTATTATTATTGTAATAAAATTATAATGATTTTATTATTAATTACGAATTAAATACTTTAATACAATTGGAATTTATAAATTAAATATATTAATTTTTTAAGAAAAAATCAACGGAGCCCGTATTTTCTTTTAAAGTTAAAAGTTGATTGAAATACAGAAGCTGATAGGAGTGGTAGCCCAAAGACTAGCCGTAGATTCAACGGTCCAAAGTAAAAGAACTATCAAATCACATCAAATTCAATCAATGGAATCTAAGAAGATAACAACCATTGTGTGGGCCATCTAACTCGCCATCTGATCTCTTTGTTTGTATGCTTTTTGTCTTCATGCGTTACACCCAATTTAACCCCAGACTATTCTTGTCTGTTCCTGTATTGGAATATTTTGATCTTTCACCGTGTTGTAATAATTTAATATTAGTATGCTTTTTATAAATAATAAATTTAGCATATGTATGCATGTACTTGACTAAATCCCCCTAAAGTATAATATATGTCTATCATCTTGGATTGGGTAAGATATAATAACATATAATATAAACACTTATAATTATTGTATTATTCGAATTTGAAAAAAACGGTCCGGGATAAATTTTTTTATTAAATTATTTTATTAAAATAACTGCTTAATTTATTTTTATCTTTATTTAATTAAAATTTTTAGGAAAAAAATGAACTAATGACGATATTGAAAATAATTTTAAGAAAAAATGGTAAAAATTTGAGTTCGGTGAATATTTTTGAAAGAAAAAATTGAAAACAGTGAGTCAAAGTACAAAAAGAAAAAATTCGGCCACGTGGAATCCCGTGCGCATAGACGGTTTGGATTTGTTTCTCTCTTAAGCACGATCAGACGACCGAGATTAAATCGCGATCAACGGTTCATATTCGTTTTCTCATTAGGCGCGATCGGACGGACGAGATCAATCGCGATGAACGGCCCAAATTGACGCAGTATTGGTATAAATACCTCGCATCGCAGGAAAATCAGAACTTTAGCCGTCAACCCCCACCGGAGAAGAAATGTCAAACGTTGAAAAAGGAGGCTGACCTTCGACCGTCGCCGCACCAGAGCCACTGCCGACTGCTATAAAAAGTAAAATTTCTTCCTACCCGCTCAGAATTCAATTCCAATAATCAATTTGGTTAAATCAGGGCAAGAGATACGGCAGGTGCGCTAGAAAACACGGGTAAAACCCAGCGGAGCTATCGTAGCCAAAACCCAAAAATCCCCCAAATGAGCCCCTTCCCGCTTCTTATTTCACGCGATTTTTCGATTATTATATTCACCATCCTTTCCTGTGCAGGTTAGCCAAAGAAGAAATCCTAACCGCGAATGAGGACCGGCAGAGTCGCTGCACACGAGGGCCCCCTCTCCCCCCTGCCGATGGGTTCGGTTTTTGTGATTTTTCGGCTAACCGAGACCCCCTAACGTATTTTTTTTGCAGGGATACGTGTAAAATCAGCCAGATCAAGGCGAACCAGCACCGTAGGCGGCGAAACTGGCACCATGCCAGAACACTAAAATTGACCGAAAAGAATTTTAGATATCGATTTTGGATTTTTTTGGGTATTTTTATGTATGTGACGAGTGTTTTGGATTTCACATAAAAAATTTAGGAAATTCAGTACCTATTAGGAGACGTAGTAGACAGCGCGACGTATCGAAATACCAATTCGATTAAGGATCCCTCACCATATTTCTCGTTGCGTTAAATTGAGATTTAACGATGTATAATTTTGTATTTTTGTGAAAATTTAGAAAATCCTAAAAATAATTACAGCTCACTAGTGGAGGCAGAACCGATTAGTTCATAATTGTTCTAATTTTCTGTTTGTTTTCATGTATTGTACTACTTGCTTGTTATCGTATTATGCATATTCTTAATTTATAGTTTTAATTGTTTTATCGATTTATCTAATTTATTCGGTTATCTAGTTACTAAATTTTTTATTATAATAAGCTATATCGTCTGCATAAATGTCATCTAATTGATCTGTAAATATAATATGAAATATTGATATTCATTTATTTGTTGTTTTACTTGATGAGAATCTTTACTCAGTACCCA